AGGTCTGTGTATACTTGCTATAAATGAAGAATTGGATATTGAAATTTAAAAGTTATGTAGGAGTACAAAGGACCTAGAAAAGTAAAAAGAAAAAGAAAACAGTGTTGGAAGACATTTAGTACCTAATTTTAAGACTTCCTCTAAAGCTACGGTAATCAAGGCAGTGTTGGTGTAAGGAAAGGCATATAGATCAATGGAATAAAACAGAGAATCTAGAAATAGGATCACACACATATGGTCCACTGAGTTTTGAAACATTATTTAACATTTTATAGAACATAATTCAAGAGCAGAGGAAAAGATAGTGTTTTCAACAAATGGCACTAGAACACCTGGTATCCATATGTAAAAAATTAACCTCAACTCTCTTGTTCTTTTTTTTTTTTTTTCGGTACCAGGGATCAAACTTGGGACCCTGCACTTGTGAGGCAGGTGCTGGAACCACTGAGCTAAATCCCTGGCAGCCTCAACCCTCTATTTCCATACAAAAAATAACTTGAAAGGATCTATGAACCTAAATATGAAAGACTAAAACTATAAAACTTTAAGAAGAAATTATAAGGGAAAATGTACATGAATTTAGGGTAGGCAAGAATTTCCTAGGATACAAAAAACATGATGTATAAAAGAAAAAAATTGATGAGATTCCATCAAAATTTAGAACTTTAAAAGACATCATTAAGAAAATGAAAAGTAGTCCTTGAACAGAATATATTTATAATACATATAATCTATGACCAGAATATATAAAGAACTCTTACAGCTCATTAATAGACTACCCAGGTCCCCGTGCCCTGCCCACAGCAACCAGCCAGCCGAAGGTGAGAACCTCTGCAGCGTGGAGCCCCCGCTCTATCCCCATGCCCCACCCAAAGTGATCAGCTTAGCCGCAAGGGCGCATGCAGGGCCCCCCCTCCCCACCTCTGGCCTGCCTTTGCCACTACCTGGTTCCACACTACAGAGGCACAGGGGTTATAAAGGCCATTGTCCTGAGCTCCAGAAGATAGAGCAGAAGTGAACAGAGAGAGGGCCTCTCTCAGGCTCCTTGATGATAACTTAAGCCCACTGGAAAAGTGAAGAGAATCTCTGCAATAAAGGCACACCAGACCACCGTACTTGGTAAGTTGGAGGGATCATGACCTCCTGTCGGAACCTGGACTATCTTCAAGGAAAGGGCAGCTGGAACATGCAATAGAACCTTGCAGAGTTCAACCCTGCAGGAGGACAGGGAGCTCAACTTGGGACTTGCAGCCAGAAAACTGCCTGAATCTCACAGGTCTGCTACTGGCTTGTTGAGACTCACTGACTTATATCTGCACACTGCTGCCCATGTTGTCTATTGTGACAGCAGAGACATACCTTGAAGGAGGCCCTTCATTTTTATTTGTTATTTGCAATTTTTTTTCTTATTTTTAATTTTTATTTTTTTTCTACTCTTTTCAAATTTTTTTCTCTTTTTTTCTTTCTTTTCTTTTTTCTTTTCTTTCTCTTTCTCTCTTTCTCACTCCTTCTCTTGCTGTCTCACATTGTTTTTCATCTCCCTTTTTGTTCCTGTTCTGGCCCTAATTTGGATTTCTTCTTTATTTTTCTTTTCTTCTCTTTTTCCTTCTAATGATTGTCATTAGTTTTAAAGGAAAGTAAATACAGTTTCTAG